AAGGAACGATGCAGGAACGGAGGAAGGGATGAAGTGATCTCTGGGCATTCCCCAGCTCCAGGCAAAACCATGCCGAGATCACCTTGCATTGGGAAGCGATGGTGCAGGCCCCAGCAAACCCCTCCATACACAGAGAAACAAATGGACTGATAGAAATCAGCTGCCGCCTATAAATGCTTGGCGGGTATTTAACTTTAGTAACTGATTTTCGGTTGTGCTTTTCCTGCAAATGAGGAATAACTATTTTCACATTAAGACAGAGGGAGGCAAAGCTGAATATCAAAGCAGGGGCTTTGTGTTTCCTGCACGCTCTGTTTTAACAAGGTAGCTCCAGCTGCTAATCTTGCTTTATTGCATTCCTGGAAAAGAGGCCTCTGCCAAGCAGACTTTTTAAAGGAACTTGCTCCAAAAACAAAGGGGCTCAGACTCGCTTTCATTTAGGGCTAGGGGTATTTAATCAGGAAGAACTGGTCACATGGCCAGGCGGGCTCCTGTGGTTATGTATACAGAGCGCTGTCAGCAGCTGGCTGCGCTCATGAATCAGGGGAGATTAGAACCCACAACCTTCAACCCCGGAGTATAACTCTCCCCGGAGAAGAAGCAGAAGGCCGGGGGCGTTGATCCTGCAGCTGTGAGACAGCATGGCGCTCCAGCTCCAGCGCTGCAACGGGGGATCACCCAGGTGGAGGCATGGCACCGTGATGATGGGGAAGGCTGTAGCTTAGTCCTAGCAATGAATGAGGAGCTAGATGAAGAGCCAAGCAGTTTCTTCCTGCTTCTGTGGAGAACCCAGAGACCCGTGAGCCTGGCGCCTCCTGGCTGCCCCTGCCACCCAGCCCCTGGCTGTCCCACTCAACCCCACATCCAAGGGACAGGGCAAGCACCCGTACAACCTGTCCTCTCGGGCATGTCGGGCAGCATGCAGTGTGCGCGCTGTCTGGAGATGGCCTCTCTCCTCCCCAGAGCCGGAGATCAGCAGCGGGAAACCCCCAAACCTGGGGAGATTCTCTGACGGGTCCTGGCTGCAAAGGAACTAACACATGTGAGGAAAGACAGGCTTGTTAACAACTGGGGCTCCTGGCAGCCGGCCCGCGCTGTAATGTGCAGTGCCTGAGCGCCAGCGAGGCCGACAGTTGTATCCAATTAGAGCGCGCTGATGCGCGGCTGCTTTCGTGCCCTTGCAGAGCGCGGAGGATGGACACGAGCCGTGGCGTGTCTTGTCAGCCACACGTGTCACAGGAATCTGACAGGTACGTCGGCCTCCCCGTAGGTCCCCGCCACCGCCCCGCTGTGCAGAGCTCCGAGCCGCTGGGGGCCAGAAAGGCCTCGGGGAGCTTTGCTGAGGACTTGCGTTGCACCTGACCCCTCGATCCATCAGCTCCCAAAAGTCACGTCAAACTCCAGCTGCCTTCGATGCTCCCCCCCAAATGCCCCTGCAGTCACCTTTGCACAAGAGACCTTCCCCTTCCCGTGCTACCCTGGACTTTACTGACTGCGTTTCAGGGGCAGGGGGAACAATCTCTGTATCCCCAGCGGGTTCCTAATAACCCACCAGGAGGAGGATTTTCAGGTGTACCCATGTCATTTCGGCTCTGGCATTAGGGTGGCGCGCCCCTTGCCTGGGGGTGACCGTTGTTACGGAGGTGCTGAAGGCTTTGGGGAGAAAGCTCGGCTCCAGAACATCAGGGCAGCGCAGCAGTGACCAAGCTGCGTGCATGCAACGTGAGGATCTCGGTGGGACACCAAGGCATTCCTCCGCACGGAGAGGCAGCCTCACAAATGGCACAACCGCCTGCCCACCCTCACTGGGAATCAGGACAAGAGTCTCAACCCCTCTGGGGGACCCTGGAGGCCCGTTCCCAGGGACACATGTGGAAACGTGGCCTCCCTCTGTCTCCACCAGCCTCAAAAGCCATCTAAATGTGCATCCAAAGCCAGGCGAGAGCCGCAGCTGACCCGGCCTTGGAGCGCCGCCCCAGGCACCCCAGAACGCCCGGCGCCCGGCTGGCTGGGAGGGGAGGTGGCAGCTAGCTGCTGGCTTGGGCCAAGCCTGTAGCTCCAGCCCTCCTCTACGAAGCGGCAGTTGAGGACACTGTGGTCAGACGGGAGAAGCTCCCAGCCCGGAGAAGCCAATGTTCTGCATGCATCGTTGCCTGTCGGTCTGCCTCCAGGAGCATCGGGGGGTTGATGCTTTCTGGGGGAAGTGCGACCGAGGCCAGGCCGGCGTCCTTCTGCACCCGGGCCCAGCAGCTTCGTGCCATGTGGGCTGAGCACGAGGCCGTGCAGCTGCTCCCCATTAGGTGGGCCGCGCCGCCTTTCAGATCCTGTCCCTCAACCCCAGGGGGGCGGCGGCTCCACGTCGCTGCGAGACATCTCAAGGAGCCGATAATCAGTGTTTGCAGCGGCGCCCGGTGTGTTTCCCATTAGCTGCTGCCCTCAGAGCGCTGGCTCGCCCATTCCCAGGGCCGCGGTTGCCTTTCCTGCCACTCATGTCCCAGCCCAGAGCTCCTTGCATCGCAGCGGTGCGAGCTGAGCCCTTCCTGACCAAGACTGATCCAGGCCCGAGGCTGAGCCCCTCCTGCCCGAGCTGTAGGGCTGCGCACAATGCGGGGGCAAAGGGAGCAGGATCTGAGCCATGCTCTGTATCAGCCAGGTCCCCAGCTAGAGGGTCTCGCCTCTCCCCCCTAGTACAGCCACGTTTCCACATCCTCCTCCGCCTAGGAGGAGCCTGGGAGAAGCAGCAGCAGGATTTCTGGCCCCTCAATGCCGGGGCAGGAGGAGGTCAGCTCCCACCAGCAGCTCTCCACCCACCGCAGAGATGCAGGGCAGAACCTGCCTGCCTACCCCGGCAGATACAATTGCTGCTTGTTACGCACACTGCATCGAGCACCTTTGCTTTGGCTCTTCCCCAGGGACCTGGCAGGTGTGGGGGGGCATGCAGATGGAAGCAGGTCTGTGTGCTAGGAGTGTGAGGACTGGCCCAGTTGGCTAGGCATCTGTCTGCCCCAGGCCTGCTTGAGAGAACGTGCACAATGTCTGCGTACCCTCGTGGGAAACGGTTTGGCTAACACAGGTGCCATGTCAGATGCACGGGAAGTGGAGCAGAGGAAAGCCCAGCCGTGGCTCCTTTAATCTCCCCTTAGAACTACAAGTGCAGCTGAGACCGAGCAGGCTGCGGCAGGGAGCGGCTGGTATTGGGCGCAGCACGCGGCGGATGAGCCTGCCCTGACTTCTCCTTGGCCACGAGAGTACGGCTGGCAGGTCAGGCAGTGCCCCCACGTGGCCAAACTTCAGGCTCACGACTCATCCCAAAAGCACGAAGGGTGTTATGGAGGGCTGAACACGAAGACAAACACAGAGTGGGCCAGTTTAGACAGGGATGATCCTGCCTCGAGCAGGGGCTGGACTAGAGGCGGCGTCCCGAGGACCCTGCCGGCCCGGCTGCTCGGTGATGGGATCAATAAGGAAAACTCTTGCCTGCACCCCACCGCCTAGTGGGCTCGAGCAAGGAGCTGAGGCCAGTTTTAGTGGTTACCAGTCTGCTGCAAACAATAGGTAAAGTCCTTAGAGCTGCCAGCAGCCTCCGATGGCACTGAGCAGCAAGCCTCACTAGAGACGGACAGGCTCACGCCGGGGAAAACTGTACAAGCGGAGTTCAGTTCCCACAGCACATAACACAGCTCAACCGTTCACAGGCTTTTTTTTTTGCATTACGCAGGGCTTTGAGGGGGGATACGACGAGTCATCAGACCTTTCCCCCATCTCGTTACCCAACCCCAGCGAGCTGGTAAGAGAGGCGCAGATATTAAGAGAACACCCCTCTCCCCCAGGCAGCCCGAGGCTTTGCTTTGCTCCCTGCTCTTCTTTTGCCTAGGGGGTTGAAAGTCTGCCTTGTCCCAGGAGAAACCGCTCTCCCAGAAGCCAGTGACAAATGCTACTAGCAAGTGCAAAACAGTGCTCTGCTGTCTCAGCCCCAGGGGCAGCAGATGCCCACACTGGAGCATTTACAGGACATTTGTCATCTTCCCCTAAGAATCCCATCACGTCAGTCTCAGAGGAGAGGGGGATCTGCTTCAGCGGGGGCCAGCATGTCACTACTGCCACCTTGCCAAGGAAGCAGGGCTGCTATGGGCAGTTCTCTCCCATTTACAGCAAGGCCTTCCCTTTTTCTGGCAGCAACTTATTCCTTGCACATAGAAACAGGTGGAAGGGATGAATCTTAGCAGAGGAAAGGCCGATGCTACCCCCTGGTGGACACCCATCTTCCAAACCCAAGGGACATCACCTTGTTCTCAGAGAATATATGGCAAAACCATCGCTCAGCCCCAGCACCTCGCAGGGCCACGCTGCCCCTAATCACGGTAAGAAACGCAAATCCCCCTAGAAGGGGCAGCTCAACACAACGGATTCTCTCTGCTCTGGGAAAGCCCCGGGTTCAACCCGTAAAGAGACTGTGCCAAAGGGAAAGCAACTGGTAATGGGCAGGGCGAGCTCCTCGAGAAGCTGCCTCACTGTGGTTGGAGCAGCTTATCCCCATCGGCAGAGGTAGCTTATTTTAACATACCGATCGGTTTATCTTGTAGCGCAGGGAGCTTCAGGAAAGTGGGAACCCCCGCTGGGGAAAGGCGCTTAGCACCGTGTGACCGAGAGCACGCATGTGTTGCACGCACCGTGACGCAGTTTAGAAAATGAGTCGCTTAAGTGTTAGAAAACACGATTTCCGGAGCTGCGTTTCTGGCGCTTCACAAGCACGTCCTCAGCGTGCCCCTTCCTTCCTCGGTGCTGCTGTAAGGCCCCACAAACAGGAAAGGAAACCGACGGCCTGTTTGGGAGGAAGGGTGGGATACCGGGGAATACACACCAACCTCTCACTGCCAACTCCCTGGTTCAGTAAGCTGCGGTTGGCCCACAAAGGCAGGAGCTGAAGCGTGTGCGCGTGATGGCTCTAGCGTGTATTTACACCTGAAACCCCCTTTAATCACCAGACAAGCACTCCTGGATTTTTTTCCATGCGCACTGTTTTGCCTTTAATATCCAAGACACCTGTCAGAGCAGGTATTACCGGGTCTCCCGGGACCAAAGATAACCTTCCTCCCATGTCCTCCTTCATCTGGCCTCCAAGAACAAGACCGCTGATGCAACAGGGCCTGCACACCCCTCAGCCGTCAGACAGGCTCATCCCACTCAGCAAGAGCCTCCTAAAACACAGCTCAGAGCAGGGTGCGCCCTGCTCTCCACCGACCCGCGGCCAGGCTCCCTCTGCTCGCCGCAAAGTCTGGGCCTGGGCGCTTCGGTAGATTTGCTCCGAGGTCCCTGCTGTCCTCTCTGCCGGCTGGTTAGTGCGAGGACACAGCTCTCACCCAGTCTCCAGGAAGAGCGAGGCCTTCAGCAGAGTGTCTGAGTTGGGAAGGAAGGAAAGGAAAGAGCCATTAGTGCCGGGCCGCGCGCCGCGGCATTTGGGGTCACAGACGCAGACGGAGACGCACCCCATCTCAGCTCACTCCCAGCAGCGAGACCGGGCCCTTGGGCAACTCATCCAACAGGAGACGCGGCCTTTCCCTTGCCGGAGGCCGCGCTCCAAGTCCGGCAGTCGCTGTAACACGACTGTGCTGCCGGTTCGGTCCCGGTCCCAGAGGGGAGGTGCGTGTACGCGCACGCGCGCGCGCACGCCCAGCGGTAACGGCCCCCGCGCGGCAGCTTCCCGTTACCTTCCACGACGTCCGGGTTGTGGCGCTCCAACAGCCTCTGCCAGGCCTGCGGCAGCGCCTCCAGCTCCGACAAGTCCTCGTGGTGCGCGCGGAGCAGGAGGAGCTCGCACTCCAGGTACCTTGCTGGAGCTAAGGTCCCGCGCCGGGAAGCGCAACGGAAAACACCCGCAGGCAGCGCAGCCAGCGCCCTGCTCCGAGGGCG